CACGCAGGCATGAGAACCCAAGTTCAGCTCCCCGGCCCCCAGGGTAAAAGTTGGGTTTGGTTATGTGTGCTTTAATCCCTGTGCTGTGGGGGAGAGACAGGAGGGTCCCCGAGGCTTATGGCCCAATAGTCTAGCCCTAAGGAGAGAGCCTGTGTCAGTCCTAGGGTGGAGAGTGACCGAGGAAGATACCTCACTTCTGTGCACATGTGAACATCAGGGCAGAAGGCTGGCTTTCTGACATGAGGGACTGTGGAGACATGTCAGGATAAACAAAATCATAGAGCTACATACATGGAGAGCCTGCCTGTTTTCAAATTATAAACATGACATAGATGTGTATTACTACAGTCATACATACACACGTACCCTTACGCTGACAATCATGCTTTCTCAAAGGGTCACATTCTACTGCACAGATTTCTGTATTACTTGACTTTTTTCATAATGAGACTATATTACCCCAGTTTATTTAACGAATAAAATAAAATTCTAAGTCCTGCGGGTCTCAAATGGGGTCAGAGTGTTAGTGGTTAGAGAGAGGTGAAGAAAGAAGTGACATTTTCACAAAGGAAATATGGACAGGGCCCTGGGTTTGGCAATGCACAAGGACAGCATGACAAGCCACTGGCTGGAAGACGGTCATGGTCCTCAGGAGCCTGGGGTCTGAGGGGCACAGGCTAGCCAAGAGTCTGTCAGCTGAGTGACAATACTTGTGAAGCACAGAACACAGTGGCTTTGTCAGCTGCCGTGAGCAGATCTGGATTTCAGAACAAACCCCTCCGTGCCCCTCACTATCTCCCCGTAAACTAGGAAGGACCACAGTACCTGTTCCGCAGATCCAGCATGCTAATATAATAGGCACCGGTGAAGTGCTAGCGACTGTCACAGAGTCCGGTGGCAGGCATGCAGATGTATTCTTAGCTCCCAGCAAAGTAGGTTATGGTATAAAAATACCATTAAATAGTAACTAAACTAGCATCACCTTAATGCGCATCTTGCCAGCAAAGCCAGCATGTGCGATTTCTTTTTAAATTACCCTATATTAGAGAATCAAGACCAGGGCTCATTCTCAAGAGCAAGCCATTAGGCAAAGGCCAGAGGTCCAATTATCCCATCCCCTCACAGATGATGTGAAACCCACTCTGGCCAAGTCCTGAGACTCAGCTCCCAGGCAGGAGTCCCAGCCTTTGCTTTCATGTGAGCAAGTAGTCCAGGCCCAGGGCACCCAAGACAACACAAAATAGTGTACGTGGCAACGGTGGGCACAAGCAGATGGGGGGCAGCCCTAGCAAAGGCCCTGAGGCAAAAAGGGTGTGGGGTCCTCCAAGGCTGGAGGGACAAAGCCAACACAAGAGGAAACACAAGATTCCTCCCGTACCCAACCCAGAACAAGGCAGCATCCTACACTGAGCTGCCCCAGATGTCCTAAGTTTATTAAGTATCCAGCAGGCCACCCAGCGGTCCAGAGCAGGTCAGAAGAACCAGCAACAGCAGGCAGTGCACAGACACCCCAGCCTGCAAGGGATGCTGACTGGGGGCAGGAGACGGAGTCAAGGACACATTAAGGTCAGCTCTGGGCCTAGGGGGTGGGGCCAAGAGTGGTGGCCATTCTCTGGGCTGAAGGTCAAGGGTGGTCTCCACAGCCCAGGCTCGGTGAGGTAGCGAGTCACCATAGACGCTGTCATAAAAATAATATTAAATAGGAACTAAGCTATAGGCCAAGATCTCAATGCCCTCTCTCCCAAAGTACGTGTGTCCACGAACCCCCAAATTATATCCAAACCTTACAGAAGTGCTTTTCTCCAGGGAGACCACCTATATTTTAATAAGACAACCGTCCTCAAAAAGTGGAAAATTCACATGCACTAATACAGAACTTGATGCACTTTCTACCGTTGGCACTTCCTATCAGTCAAAGCCAGGGCTGGTGCATCGGGCTGGGAGCCAGTGGAAGTGGGCACGGCAAGGCATGGTAAAGCCTCACCAGGAACCCTACCACCAGGGGCAAATGCCCAAGTAACTCTTGCACCGGCAGCCATGTGCACAGAGTTGGTCATGTGACGAGGGAGGAGGAACAGGAAGGTGGCAGCCTCGATTTCTGTGAGGGGCAGAGCAGATAATACATGGTGCCCATACCATGATCACCACGTGGCAGCCACGGCCACAGCCTGTCAGAGCCACGGATGTCTGCAAGACAATCCTAACAGAATCAGCTCTGGATTTTCACATCAAGTTATGAGAAACCGGGGAATGACCGTATGTTGATGGGGATATGAAGGCAGCGAAGAACGGGAGTGCTTGAGCCAAGAGAGGAGAAAGCGGGCTGTTTAATATTTATTTGTAATGCATTACTTGCTATAATTTTAAGACAGGATTTTAAGAAAAAGGATGAACAATTGTCAGTTCTGGGAAAAGGAGACACCAATGCTTATTGTTCCCAGGGTTTCTGAATTTTTAAAACACATCCAATAAGAAAACAATTTACAGTACCCTAATGCAGCTCCACGTGGACTGGAGGTCCCCCACTTTGCACAGTCCTTGCTCTGGGACCCTGGGTTCATGGATCTGCACCCCAGCCTATGACCCCCAGGCAAGAACTAGCTGCAAAGAAAGACACACGCTGAGGTGTCTCACGGGCAGGGCCCCAGAGAGCCATTCCCCTCTGCCAGCCCACCTGCTGCCCAGGCCTGGGGAAGGAGAGAAAGCCCAGAGCTGCCACCAGACAACCAAGAGCAGCTGTGGGCCTGGGACCAACCCTTTGGCCAAGCAGGGGACTCAGCATCTCCTGACTGGAAGCCAGGAGCTACAGCTTTAAATAAACTTGGATGTGTCTACCTGGGGCTGTGAAACGGCACCAGCTGTGCCCCAGGCAGGCACCGTCAACAACTAGCCAACATGGCTACGGGGGGGGGGGGGGTTAAGGGGACTGGTGAGCTCCCACAGTTTATCCTGAGGGCAGCATCCCATACATTCCTCTCCTTGCCCATCCCTGGGGCCTGGCATCTAGCAGTCTCCACAAAGGTACGCTGGGCTGAGCTGACCACTCCTGACTAGCTGGCCTCTCCACACCAGGCTTGGGTCTCACCCTGGCACCTGTGTGGCGTCCCCACACTTGGGTGAGTGTTCATTCTTTTGTACCTAAGGAGGAGCTGGCAGTCTCAGCTCTCACCTGTGCCTGCTGCAAATGTCACCCTTCAGCCTCCACTCCCCAGCGGGGGTGGCAGGCAGCGACCACTTTATACTGCTGCTCAGCACAGGACAGCTCGCACCAAGGTGGAGACGCAGACCAGCTAGGTGACCTGGAGGTTATGGTCTCTTGATATGGACTGCTCAGAAGACACCAAGAGGCCCAGTGTGGGGATACAAGCTCCTGGACACACAGAAGGATACAAGTAGGTTCCCTAGGAAGGAGAGACTTCCTGCCCCGCAGTACAAGACAGCTGTTGAGGTAATGGACAAGTCCCCTCTTAAAGCATCAAGAAGGTCTGGAGGGTTGCCCCCTCCATAACCTCGAGGCTGCCTCACCCGCACCTGAGGACTCCCAGCCATCACCTCTTCCTTGCAGAGTACAGCCCCCACTGGCTACTGGTAGCTTCTTCAGTGACTCCAAGTATGAGAGGAATATGGCCCTGGAGAAGGAGTGCCGGGATGGCTGTTCAGGTCCACCCAGCCTCGGTCCTTGCAATCTGGCATAGGCTTCCTCCTGCCACTCCACTTGGCTCCTCACCCCCCCCCCCCCCAGGCCTGACCCAAATCCTCTGGGCACGTGCAGGAAGAAGTGGGGAATGCACACACCCCCACACTCCTCCAGCTGGGCCCTCCACAATTATCAATGATCAGCGTCCCTCGCCCACCCAAGCTTTCAGACGCTTTTTTAGTAAAGGGGGAAAAAAAAAAGGATTTGCGGCTGGATGTGTAAGAGGAAATCTCGCCAGCGCCCCCACGGTGCAGGAGGGATGGGGGAGGGGACAGGGAGTGGGAAGGAGGACCCAGCTCTGGAGTTATGCAGCTAGCACCTAAGGATGCCCTGCAGTCACCTTAAATCCCACATAGAAGCTCCAGGCCTGACACGAGGCTCCTGGGGGACTTTGGTGTTTCGGTACCCTAGGGGCAAAGGCAGGTCTGGACGCTTTAAACCATAGCTTAACCCCCATATTGCTCGCGCTGCGGAGCAGGTCTTTGCGCCAGGGCACCTGTTCCCCACGAGGCCCTACCCGAAATACGCCTTCAGAGTCCCTCCCCCCCAGCCCTCCCATCACAGGAGGAAAAAAAAATAACATAAAATAAAACGGACCAGAAGCCAACCTCTGTCTGCCTCGATGACCCTGAAATCAGAGGCCCAACTGGTTCCGGGCTTCACTCTCACCCCCCACCCCATGGCCTGATCCTGGCTCCCTGACCTCGTCCACCCCCTCCAAATTCTTGTTTCCAGAGAATCTGGGGGGAAAAACCCTCCAGAACCCAGATTCCCCAAGGGACCCAAGGCAGAAGCTGCTCCCACGCTGCTCCCCCAGAGCAGATGGGGCCACGCGAGGAGCAGGCGCGGAGCGGGTCCGCCACCGCTGCCGCCAGCCGCTCGGGTGGGGGGGTGAGGACAGGACCGTGGACGACCCCCTGGGGCCATGGCCGACCCCTCGGGCACTCTAGGCCTGGCAGCCGCCCCCGCGTATCGCTTGTCTCTGACCTCCCCGCCGCCAAATGCGTCACGTCTGCCCGGCGCTCAGGGGACACCTGCTGCCGCCCCCGCCACGCCGAGTCCAGATCCCCGAGTCTCAGTCCCAGCCAAGCTTTGGCACGGGGCAGGGCCGAACGTGCTGCGGTGGGGCAGCAGGGGTCCAGAACCCGAGGTTCGGGGGGCCGGGCGGCACAGGGCAGTGAGCTTGGGCCCGCAGCCCTAAGGAGCCGGGGGCGCGCGGGGCCGCAGTGCGCGCGGAGCCGGCGGCGATGGGGTCCCCGCTCCCAGGGGTCTGCGGACAGCCCGAACGCGCCGAGGCTCTTACTTGCCAATATCCTCGTATAGCTGGTACTCGTCGGTGAAACGGGTGCAGGTCACCGTGGTGGCCATGGCGGCGGCGATCGGACTCGGCGTGCGCTCGGCTGCGCTCGGGCGGCGGCGACTCCGGCTCCCGCTCGCGGGCACGGCGGCGACACGGGCGCGGGCGCGGGAGACACCTCGGCTCGCGGCGCCGGGCGGGGGCCGGGCTGGGCTGCGCCGGGCGGCGAGCGCACGCGAGATCTGCTCGCTCTGTCCCCGCCAGGAGCGCGCCGCACACCTACGCGCGCAGAGGCGCGGGCGCCGCTGTCGCCGCCGCGCCCGCCCCGCCCCGCCCGCGGCCCCTTGCACGCGCCTCACCCGCACCCTACACACGCCTGCACCCGCACACACACCGTACCCGCGCCTTGTACCTGCACTAGCGCCCGCGCCTGCACGCGCACTGCGCCCGCACCCTGCACCCGCACCGCGGCTCCACTCGCACACACGTCGCGCCCGCGCCGGCACCCGCACTGCGCCCGCACCATGCAATCCCACCCGTGCCCGCGCCCTGTCCCAGCACATGGGCTGCACCACGCGGTGCCCACGCACTGCGTCTGCCCCTCTAGGCCCGCGCCCTGCACGGACAAGCCACTGGGCCGCTTTTCCACTGCTGCAGTTGAACTGTGAACCCAGACTCTCCTTCCCCTAACGGCCCACCTCCTCTAAATAGAAAGAGAGAACTACACCCCATTTGGAAGGGGTAATCAGTTGCCCTCCGCTGGAGTCCTCTGTTCCCCGTACCCTCATAAGATGCTGCCAGACTCTCTCTGCCTGACCTGGCAGAGCTGCCCATGAGTCTCCTGGAGAAATGGGAGGAGGAGGAAAGGATGAGGTTTGCTGGCAGTGGTCCCAAGCCTCTTCCCTGCTTCTCCTGAGATTGGTGATTAAGGTGCCTTCTGTCCTGGGGTGAACAAGTCCAGATGGGGCCTTGAGCCAGCAAAACAGGGGCTGCTCTGCTCTTGTCGGGGATTCCTGTTGCCCAGATAGCTTGGTCCAGCCCTTTGCCTCTGCTCTGGCCAGGAAGAGAAGCCTCCATTCTTTCTCCTCTTTCCAGTCTCTCTTGAAAGTGGCCCTGAAGAAAGGGGGGCACAGGCAGATTCCCACAAAAGCATCCCTTTGGCCAGCATCCCCCAACTAGACTCCTTGTGTCTGGGGCCAGGGCCCCCTGGGAGGGCAGTTGGGAGGGGACACTCCAGTCAGCTTGGATGGCCTTGGCAGGTGCCTTGATTCTTTCCCCTTACTGATTCCCCAAGAGCAGATTTGGTGGACATCCTAGCAAGTGTCTTCTTAGATGAAGGAGCAAATGGTTTTTTGCTGGGCAGCTAGGGGTCTTCCCAAAACGCAGATTTGACAGAGTGCTGCCAGGTGACAACAGGCTTCCTGGAAAGTCCCTATCGTGGGTGACCAGACTCAGCCTGAGAAGACCAACAGCTAGAGAACAAGAGACACGCATGGGCAAGTACATCCCGTTCAGAAGCTGAGAAAACAGGAATCCTTGCCTTGACCTAAGCAGGACCCAAGCAGGAAGAGAAACCCCATTGTGCCAAAAGGTATGAACTTAGACACGGAGGACCCCAGGCCAAGCAACAGGGTGGGGAGAGGGTGAAGGTCAGGCTGAAGCTTGCTCTTGGGACTGAAGTAAGCTCCCTAGCACCTGCTGAGAGCAGCTGCTTCTGCTCTTTCTGAGCTCTGGAAGGGGACGGAGGCAGGCTGCACAATGGAGTACAATTAGCAAAACAAACAAAACAAAATTGCACCCCTCGGTGAGTTAGGCTGTCTTCAGGCCACCAAGTCACACACCCTCCCACCAGTGGCCCTGGTGTCTGATCTTCACGGTAGCTGCCCTTGACTGTACTTGCCTGAGTGTTACCCATATTTTACTGTTCAGTTCTCAATCTATTACCACTTTATCCTAGCCGGGACAACACAGAGACAGTAGATGTAACTTGCCAGACAGTCAAGCAAGATGTCCTGGGGGTCTCGCAGCTGGGGAGAAGGCTCTTGCTAAACAAGCATGGGAACCCAAGTTCGATCCCCAGAACCTATAATGTTTTGTTTTGTTTTCTAAGAAAGGGTTTCTCTGTGGAGCCCAAACTGTTCTGGAACTTGCTCTGTAGACCAGGCTAGCCTCAAACTCGGAGATCCACCTGCCTCTGCCTCCCAAGTGCTGGGATTAAAGGCACGTGCCACCAACCACCCAGCTGTGTGTATGTATTAGTATTTATGTTTGTGTGAAAATAAAAAGCAAGGGGGGGCCTGTAATGCCACTGGAGATGGAGATGGAAGGTCCTGGGGCTTACTGACCAGATTAACTTAATTGGCAAGCCCCAGTGAAAAATTCAGTTAAAAAAAAAAAGTTGGAAAGTGACCAAGGAAAACAGACATTGACCTCTGGCTTACACATGCTTACATGGAACACATACATATACACACATTTATAAAACAACAAATTCATTAAAAAACGAGAAGTGGCTAAGATTTTCCATAAAGCCTCCCTTGCATCTTATTTTCGCACAAACATATTGAGGCTAGCCTGGTCTACAGAGCAAGTTACAGAACAGTCTGGGCTACACCGAGGAATCCTGTTTCAGAAAAAAAAAAGCACGCACACACATACACACAGACATGCACATACAAAAACATGCACATAAGCACACATAATGCACCATATATATATACACAAAACCACACAAATGTACACACCAACACTCTGGGTGCTCTTTTGTTGGGTCACCTTCATAAGAGGATAGGTGGTGTTGTACGAAAAGTTGCAGTCACTGAAGAGTGCCGCCTGAAGCTCGCTTTGCCCTCAGCCTCTCCCCCCACTCTATTCCTGGGAGCCCCTGACATTCCCCTCCTCCAGACTGAAGCATTAGAGGCAACACTTGGAGCCACCCAATGGGTCAGGAAGGGCGGATGATGCAGCATTAGACAATGGGGAAGAGGTAGCTGCCAGAGGCACGCAGGCTCTCCTTGCCCAGATAGCATAGCCCACAGTCTACCTTCAGGCCCAGAGGACTCCTCTCTGGCAAAATGAAAAGGCTGGGAGGGAGACAGGTTTCCAGCTGTGACTTTTTCTGCTCCTGGACCCCAGCAGCCTTCTCATCTGGCTTCAGCTCTGGATCAGAGGAGCAGACTCCTCCCTCATCCAACCTCTTCCTCCACCTCCCGCCTCCACCCCCTTCCCCTATCCCCATGTCATCTCCACCTCCCACAGTGTCCCTCTGGGCTCACTTTTGTAAGCTAAGAGGGTTCTCCCTCCCAGGTGGCAGCTGGGGTGGTTGTGGGGAATATCAGTTCTGGAAGGTTATTGTTAGGACAGTCACCATGGCAACAAGCATCACATCTGCAGAGCCACAAGTGATGCACATGGAGCTCGTTCTCCCTAAGAAAACCACCACTTTCTGATGCCTTTACTGCCAGGGTCTGCTGCCGTGTAGGGTATGTCACCACTCGCACTGTCCACAGGCAAGGCAGCCTGCCCAGTAAATCAGGCTGTGTCTTCTGAGCAGCAAGATGAGAGCCCATCAATTCCCAGGCCACGCTGTGGCCAGCGTATGAGGTGGTGGCAGCCATGGTAGGGGTGGTGATGATGACGGTGAGATTAGCAGTGATTGTGGTGGCGGTGGTGGTAATGGATGACGACAACAACAGACTGACCGGCTTAGGATACCACGCTGGTCCAGGATTGGCATCCAGATCCGTCTTTATAACTAGGATGTTTATCTATGATGCTGTGCGCAACAAGTGACCCTTGTTGCCCTTGGTGCAGTTGCTGTGTGCCAGTGTGTGCATGGACCTGCCCAGGCATGGAGTCACACCAGTGAATGACAAGGTAGTTGTGCCTATAGGGCGTATACGTCTGATCTGGCAAGAGCACGAAATAGCTTTCCACAATAACACTTGATACATGATAATGCCCGCCCCCATGACTGCTTGACATTTCATGATTTCAGTGGCTCCAACCAGCTACAGTCAAAAAAAAAAAAATCCTAAGTGGCGGATTGCAGAAAGAAACGATCCTTCCATTATTCAATTGCATGCAGTCCCGGGTAGAGCGCAGCTACCCTTGGTCCTGTCCTGGCTGTGCAGCATCCTTTGGCACTGCATCTCCACGCTATATTGTATGTATGCATGGGACAAACAGCACATAGGGTCCAGCGCTATCCGTGGCCACCGGACGCCTTGGAACGCCACATGTATGCACACGCGCCCTTTATGATGAGGCTGGAGAAGCTAGTCTATACAGATTTAAAGTAAAGTAACCTGCCAGAGGGTGACCAGTAAGAGGGTGACCGGCAGTGCCTTCAAGGTGGGTGTTTATGGAAGGCAGTGACATGTAGCTTGAGGTCTGAATGGCGCGGAGAGGATGGCCTTCAGAGCATGAGAGAAAAAGATGCTGGCAGAAGAGGCAGCTATGCCAAGGCCCTGTAGGTGGAGTGGGCTCGTGTGTTTAAGGAAAAGAATAGGGAGAGCGAGCCAGAAAAAGCCCCACTGTGTTTTGCTGGTGGTTCCTCTGTAGTAGAATCTGTCTGGCCTATGAGTTCTCCAAGAGATGTGGGCCTGCCATTATGGCCAACAGCGGCATGATAAATGGAGCTCTCTAGTCAGCTCTGAGTAATGCCCAGAGGCCTGGCTCTAAGGTTCAGCCTGAGGGCACCAGACGGTAACTGCAGACTTGCTCTCCGCTAACCAGGCACCAAGCTTAAAGTGGACACTGCCATGTCCAGAAGAAACCAGACCATACCCCTGACTGGGGGAGGGAGGTGAGAGCAGTTCCAGTCAACCCACCCCCAGACGGCAGCTTGGCATCTTCTCCTGCACGCTGTACGGGCTTCCCCTCTCCTGTAGGCTGTGCGGGCTTCTGGCTGTTTGAGATTCCCTGAAGCACTCCTATTACTCCCTGGCCCCTTGGTGAGTGGACTCCTTCAGTGTGACCTCACCATGCCTATCCTGGTTGATGTCACCTTTGCTCTCTTGGAACGGCCTCAGGCCTGGACATAGAACACAGGAAACTCTTCCCAGCTCAGCACTTCCCAAGCAGTTATACTAGCAAGAATGACCAGACTGACAGGACAGGTGCAAAT